AATTGTACTTCAATGTTTTAATGATTAACGAATGATGAAATATTTGTGTTTTTTAAAAGAAATAAAACACTTTTTCTGAAATAATATTGATCTACTCACACACTCTGACAATAACATCTCACAAACCCTTTGTGGGATGTTATTGTCAGAGTGTGTGAGTAGATCAATATTATTAAGATCCTTCACCTCCATCTATACCACTTAGACTTTACAGGAGAATACATCAGATAACATCGGAATAACAATAATGATTTGCTCTTTATGTCCCGAATTACTTCTTTGATCTTAATTTCCACACATGGAGTGTGCTTTTTCATGCTAAGGGAGAATAGTTCCCGAGCCCTTCGCTTATTTTTGAAATATGAGCAGAGCAAGAGGTGGAATTTGACAAAGAAATTAACCTTTTCTTTATGTAGAATTAGGACATCATCATTAGAGACTGGCTACCAGATTAACTAAGGAGAAACGATATAATGCATGGGGGCACCACATAGTGTCTGCAGAATCCCAAAATGGGGAAATAGATTTTAGGGCAAAAATGGTGAATTAAAATAAAAAAATAAATTACTGCCACCTGAAGTCTTACCATGTTTGGTTTCAGAACATCAACATCCCCTGAAATGTGGTGATCTCCAGAAATATACAATACATTTGTTTTTAGAAAATATTGTAGCACTTAATCCATAGACCACAGGCTGGGAATCATTTGTTCAGAGTTCATTCTATGAATAAATACATTTTGTTCATGGGGAAAAGATTGGGACATCATTAGAATAGCTGGAAGAAAAGCAACCTGATGAATTGAAGCAAAGGCTTTGGAGTGATTACACTAATCACAAGCACTCTTTTGATAACACAGCATCATCTGTGTCGCTGTCATTCCAGGGTGTCTGTTAAGCTTGTATTTTTGGCTTCCAAGATCTAATGAAACAAATCCAAGGATGGGTAGAGCAAGAATACCTTTGCAGGGTATTAAAAAACTGCTTTATAAAGATACTCTAAAGACAGCCTTTTTTTTTTCAACTGAAAAGGGCTAAACAAGTGGCAGTTCTCAGAGAGTGCAAATTGTGGCATTGTGGTTAGGTCTGATTTGGATAGAGACAGTAATGAAGAATTTTCATTGCCTTTTATCTCCATTGTGAGTTAAACTATTATCAAAAGCTCTAAGAAAATGTTTCTTCCAACATGGATGTGAAAGGTAACTGCTCAGTTTGTGGACTTCAGCATGGGAACCCAGAGTCTCCCTGACCTAAGCGTCAGAATCCCTTCTCTCCCAGTATTCATAAACCAATAGTTTGGTTTTATACTTAGTTTTTGTATGTATTCATTTCCCAGAGTCACCCAGGATTTGGGTAAGTTAGAAATATGAAGTGGATGCATTCCATAGTGTCCCATTTTATTTGACCCCGAGACTACTCACAGTCTAAGTGTTTAAGCACAAGGTTTTTAAAATAGCTGGTATGAAAAAAACACTATCATGGATTTGGAGTTGGAGTTTGGAGTTTATTCAATTTGTAGGCCNATTTTTGGAACCTCTTCTGTAGGTGTGGCCTGCTTTCCAGGTCCACTGGTGGAACCTCTTCTAACCGGTGCGAACTGGTAGGAACCCACCTCTGAGAGATATATATATATGAATTAATATACACATACATACATACATACATACATACATATACATATACATATACATATACATATACATATACATATACATATACACACACATATACACACACATACACACACACACACACACACATATAAAGAATTGTATAGTAGTGCTATCATGGGTTCTTTTACTAATTCTGGGAATGTGGAATGTTCAAAGTAAGAAAGTAGCAGATGTTGGGGAACTGTGATTTAATTTAATTTAATTTATTTTGATTTACATGTACCGTGAATAACACTAAATTAACTTCCATTAATTAATATGAGTTGTCCATATGTATACAATGTGTTTTCTGTTATACTACAACGTACCAGTTTGGGAGGGATCGTGAAGGAGGACCAAAGATGCTGGAAATATAGGTAGGGTTTCCTAACAGAAATTGATCAGAAGAGGAAAATCAGTGATAGACAAGAGTTGTTGATTTTTCAAGTTTTAAAACTGGAAAAAAATAATTAAATTCCCCAGCACCACCTTTGTATTCTCAGAAGTTTGTCATTTTTTTGGCATGACCCCATTTTAGTCTGAATCATTGTTCTATGATTTATCTCTGACATTTACAGAGGTTACGGTTACAGAGATTTTTTTCAGACATTGCTAGCCTTGCTAGTCAATTGAAAATATATATTTTATATTGGATATTAAATTTGTTGGCATCCAGTAGAAGTAATTCTAACCTGAGAAGCTTAAAAATATAACTAAAATAAAATGTAAACAAAATAGGCACCGACTAATTCATTGATTTAAGCATGAGTCATCAGATGCAAGCATGCAAACGCAGAAAATATATATTACCCATACCTCACCTTTCTTGTTTAATGTTTCTTTTTTGCAGTTTTATGTAATTTACAAAAGAAAGAATCATTTACTAACAAAGTTAGAAATTAGTAAAAACTTGGCAAGACAAAGCTTTTCTTCCATGTCTCTTAAAATTTGAGCTCCGGTGTTATGGAAACTTGAGTCCCAGTTTTCCTCTCTTCTAATGAGCCATAGCTTTAAACGTGATAAAAATATGGTTTGTGTTTGCATTTTGTGGTTCTTTTTCTGTGCCTCGTCTTGAAATGTTACAAAAAGTTAGCTCATCCTTACTTGAATTGACCTTACTGAATAGCAAGGCATCCTTTTTTTTCTATTAGCATAACATGCATATGGAGGAACCTTTTGATTGCACTACTAAAGGATTAATTTAGCAGCTTTGCAATACATAGACCAGCTCCTGAAATAATTTGGTTTCCCAACAGTGAAGGCCAGGCTTCAGTTAATTAGCATTTTATTGTAATTTAGAAGGTCAATCAACAGAGCTGATAATTCATTGGAGATGCATTTCGGTGTCAAGGAAGGGTGGTTAGTCTGTGGCACGCAAGATATTGCTGAACTACAACTACAATGGTGAGGAATGCTGGGAGATGTAATTCTGAAATACTCTGAGTGCCAGAAATTGCCTCACTTTCAATTATGCTCCTTTATATTGTGAATGTTGGAACTGTTCCTTTAAATTATTGTTGGCAATGACAGATTGAAATGTTCTTTACAGAAGGGGAAGTCCTTATCTCAGGTGCCAGAAGCGGCAATAATTGACCCTGAAAGAAATAGGTTGTCTAGCCAGTTCTTTTTGGGCTGAGTGTTTTCCTGTTCAGAATGAGCCAAATAGTTCTGACCTTTCCAGTATCCTGAATAGTGAATACTTTTGA